AACTGTGGGAAAAGGTGGGAGTAATCCCCCTTATCTGCAGGGGATACTTCTAAGACCCCTAAGTGGATGCCTGAAACTGTGGGTGGTGCCAAACCCTATATACTGTTTTTTTCATATACAAACATATATACTTTATGGCTTCCCTTCAGCAAATCCAGGTTTCTAGCATCACTGGTCTTGCACTTTGGGGCTATTTGAGCACAAAGCACTGTGATACCATGACAGTCAATCCCAGATGACTTCTAACTGGCCATGGGCGGGTCCGGGATACAGGGTGGAGCACTGGACGAAGGAATAGTTGATGGTCCAAAGCAGGATGGAGCGGAGCGGGACAAGATTTCACCACGCTATTCAAATAGCATGCAACTTAATACATAGGAATTTTATTTCTAGAATTTTACATTTAATATTTTCAAACCACACTGGACCGTGGTTAACAAACCACACAAAAGCAAAACTGAGGGTAAGGTGGGGAGTATGTACTCACACGCTGCCTGTCACTCAAAAGTCTGGCAAAGAATGGACACCAAGGTTTACAAACTCTGATATGTGACATATGTATTTTTACCTGTCTGTAAGACAACCCAATTGATTTTTAGAGGTAATAAGAGGAAATAAAACTCATGAATGGAAACCAAAAAAATTCTTTACTAGTAGAGAGAACCAAATGCAAGTAGGTCTTTTCAGAACTGCCACTCAAAATCCAACTTTCTGCTGTAACTCATTTGACACCAGCATCATTTCACAAAGGACTCAGATATTGCCCTAAAAAGCTGCCATTTGTGCTATGGGAGACACCTTTGGGAAAGAGCCAGGTGACCCAAACTCTTGTGAGGAATTTCTAGTATTGTGGTAACTATTGCAAAGTGGAAGGACTCTTGGGAAAAAAACACCAAAAACCGGAAAGCCTCGTCGTTCTTGTGGCCTCTTTTGGTGGCTGACTATGAATGGGACAGGGACCTCTAAGACATATCTGGTGGGGCACCAAGGGATGGACGAGCAGGTGCCTGAGGAAGGGACTCTCTCATCTTCCCTGGGGAGGGGAAACAGGAGAAAACAGGGGCTGTGTAGAGAGCTGTTAGTGGTAGGAAAGGAAGTCACGAGACTATGTCCGGCAAACTGTGTGCTTCGATGATGGTGCCAGTCACACGGAGGTTGCCTGTGAGTACACAGGGCGTACTCGCTACCTGTGATCGCAACAGTGCGTATGTGCCACAGCCTCAACTTCTTGATGACGTTGTGAAGCTGGACTTTTGTCAAAGTGTTCGAAGAGCCAAAATATTGTGAAATACACAGAGGCCAGATGAAGAAATGTGAAGAACTCAATGAAGCCACTGAAGCTATGCTGCAAAACCAGTGATAGGACTGGATTATCTGCTGTTTGATAATCTTTGGAAAGTTCACTGAAAATGAAGCAGCTCTTCAAGCAAATGCTGTGTTTGAGGGGTAGCTGAAGTTCTTTTTCCTGAGGTCTCCACTGTATGTGTTTGCCCTTGCTTACATTTCTCTGTGTGTGTGTGGTTTTTTTGGTGGCCTATGCAGGGTTTTTATTCCTCTGTAATCTTTCACACTTAGACCTCTCACCTGTGGAATGTCAGGTGAGACCGTGCAGAGATGTGTTGCGTGTTGGGAGGGGGATGTGACTCCAGGATCTGGGACATCGGAAGAGCGGGCTTCCTTTGCCGGTTCTCCACCCACACCTCTGCTTTCTTCTGTCCTCCCCTCCCCCTCCCTGTCGCCCCTTTGGCTTTTCCTTTTTTCCACGCACAGGCATGCCTGCCTTTTACAACCCTCCTTAGCTGGGTCTTTCCTCATGGCTCCCTGAGCCGGGGGTGGTTGATCTGAGCCAGTGTCACTTTGTGTGGTTGGTGGTGGAGGCAAAATGTGACCCATGTGAAATGACTTCGTAAATGGCAAGGTTGCTTGGTATTAAGCAGCGCTGATCGTTATGGCATGTGGCTCATCCTACGTGAAGCAGTCCCTCCCCCGTGGGCTCGTTGGGAGCTCTGTTCCGAGCTCTCCTTATCATACCACTCGCTCTCGCTTCCCGGCTCTCACTGTGCTGCCCCTTGGGTATCGGGCGGCCCCTGCTCCCGGTCTCTGTCTTTCCCTTCTTCTCATGATGATTTATCTACGACTCTTCTCACTTCCTCGGACCCCTATTAGGAAAGGATTAATTTTGGTCAGTTTTCAGTCACCCCTGGAACCTCCTTTTTGTCCACATTTTCTAGCATCTGGCTCTGACAGGCAAATATAGCTTCTGCAAACAGAGACAGGATGCCATTGAGCTGGGAGTGATTTGCCTGCCAGGGGAAATCACGGGGATCCTCTTTTCAAGTCCTGGAGGTCTGGGGGTGTTAGCTGGCCGCTAAGCTTTTGCAAGAATCCAAGGAGAGAGCTTTCTGGATCTCTGGACTCAAGAGTGTGGCTCGGCCAGATGGGCTTGTTCCCCTGTGGATGTGTCTCCCCTGGAAGCCGAGTCTGAGCAGAACCTCTCTGGGGAAGGTGTCTGTCCTCCGGGCCTTTCTTGGTCTCCGTGGTCATCTTCTCCCTGGAGTCATTGGCTGCAGTGTTGCAGAGTGGCTTTGTGGTTGCTATGCTGGGCTGGGAGTGGGTGTGGCGCCAGACACTGCCTGCAGGCACTGGGACTGTGGCCTTCCTGGCCACCTCCCGCTGTGGCCTGCATGGGGTGGCCCTCCTGAACAACCTCCTCGCGTCCCTTGAGTTTTGTTCCAGAGGGGACTATTTCAACATCCCCTGGGCCTTCACCAACACTCTCACTTTCCGGCCTCCTGCCCCGCCTGCTGTCTTCTACTGTGCAAAGATCTCATTCTCCTCCACCTGCCCCTTGTCCAGCTCAAGGGGAGGATTTCTCCATCAGTGCTCAGGCTGCTGCTGAGTGACCTGGCCCCCTGTCTGGTCTGACCATCGTCTCATCAGCCACTCACAGTACAATTCTGGTGCAGATAATTGCCTCCCTGAGTTCCCATGAAAACAGTGCCCTGGCTGATAGAATACAGACCTTCTATAGGAGCATTTTCCCACCTCATCTAGCGCTGGTGGCCTTAGTTCCATTCCTCCCATTCCTGGTGTGCACCCTCTTGCTCATGTTCTCTGACGTGAATCCTCTGCTGCAGCCAAACCCAGCTGATTTCCTAGACAATTTTCACATCTCTCCCTCCTTTACTGATGCCATGTCTCCTTCCTTCCAGCATGCAAGGCAGCATCTTGGTTGTCCAGCCATGAAGGGGCTGTGGTTGAACTCTTCTGAGAATTCTTTGGATAGGAATGGGATGACACGTGACATTTAGAACCACAGGCATTTAGAATCCTGCCCTTTTTTTAATCCCCCCGAGACAGAGAACTGAGTTGAGTGTTCTCCCATATGGAGAACCTACTCAGGATTCCTACCTCTACTCCTCTCGTGGTTTCACTTACGAAGATTAACTGTGAACATTTTTAAATTCTGAGACCTGTCTTTCACTTAAGAAGATAAATCTGAATATGAGAAAGTAGAATGCCCAAACAAACAAAAAGCACAAACAAAAAAATCACCATAAAACGCGATGCATCTTTTAAATACAAATGGTTATTCCCCCTTCCAGTAAATGTTTGTGGTTTATGATTAGTGCGTGAAAGCACTGTGAGAGCAGTTCGTTGTTGTGGTCCCCAGTGCCTTTCACAGGATCATTATCACATACAAGAAATGCTTAAGAAGTTGTTTTTAAATGAACAGAGGATTAACTGTATACATCTTCCATTGTATCACCCGATGAAGATGTGGAAGGTAGATGGGAGCAGATGAGTTTTCCATATTGAGGACTTTGTGGCTGGCCAAACTCTACAACTAAGAACCCAAAGTTTGCCTCATTGCTCCCAGTTCCATCGGGAAACAGCCCAGTGTCATCCAGAGGAGCAAGGGCAGGGGAGAGAGCAGCTGGGAACTGCATTTCCTGGAGATTTGCATCAAGAAAGGCAGAGTGAGTGAGTTACCTTAGTTCACTTCCTTTCCTTTCCCCAGGAGTGTCATGCTCACGGTAGAGCTCAGCCTCTGTGTTGGAGGGACAATCCCACTTGGACCTTTGTCCTAGGTGCACTGGGAACCAGAAAGGGATGCTGAGTGTTCTGCACTCTGTCCTTTCTTTGTGGGGCTCCATGCCGGGAACTGGTGAGATAGGATGCCAGCCAGAAGGTGAGGGTACTATGGGATACTCCCTGATTCTCACATTGCTTGCTCCCGAGTGTTCAATTTTGCCATATTTGACTCAGAACAATTTCTGCAACACATTAACCTGCTTACTCTCACCTGAGTGAGTAAGCACTCACCTGATTGCTGATCGACTTCGTTCAGCAATTTATTGATTATTCTTTGACCTCGTTCCTGTGGGAAATGTGGCCTTTGCTTACTCCTCCTTTCTCTGGTGAAAGTAGATGGCCTAACATTTGGTTCACTGGACTTGTGCTATACCCCTGGTGCTCTCCTGGATTCTCCTTGGACTACTTTTGACTGCACAGGATAGATGGAATGAAAAGTAGTCGTTATAATAACAGTTGTTTTCATCATCTTAGTTATTTCTTATGCGTGTGCAGAGATTTATAGTGTCTGCAGGGGCGCACCCTGTTGATTTCCTCACCAACTGCCAGCAGGTAGAGGGTCATGGCCTAGGTGTCAGCTTTAAGAAGTCATCAACTGCTGTGTAAGGGACGCCAAATGGAAGGGCCTGATATATTATCCACACCAGTGTTCCACACGGGCAGAGAAATGGCAGAGAAAGAGCAGGCAAATTTGCGGGCAGGTGGGAGGACTTTCGAGTCTGAGTCTTCACGATATTTGCATCCATTCTGAGAAGAACTCTTTGCCCTCCTCAGATAGCCGGCACCCCCTACTCTGTCCTCTGCATTTGGGGCAGCTGGAGGGCCACTCATCATCCAGGACCTTTCAGAGCAACTGGGCCGAAATAGACCTTGAAGTCTTGGCACCCACCTGGTCCACAGGAGAGATGCATGGGGACATGGTTCCATGACTTCCGGTGATGGATGAGAGAGCCATCACCTTGGATATTGTTTCATTCCTTCTGTGCCTGGTGGGCTTGGTGAGCAGCGGCTTGATCACTGTGGCACTGGGCGTGCAGTGGTTGCTAGGGAGAGCACTGTCACCTCGTGATAAGTCACTGCTCAGCCTGGGGGCCTCCCGCTTCTGTCTGCAGTGGGTGGTGATCGGTGAGAGATTTGTTTTCCTGTGTCCGAAGGCCACTCTGTGCAACCCTGTACTCCAGTTCTTAGCCTTCTGGTGGGACTTCTTAAATGCTGCCACCTTCTGGTTTTCCAGCTGGCTCAGTGTCTTCTACTGTATGAAAATTGCAACCCTCACTCACCTGGTCTTCCTCCGGCTCAAGCAGAAGGTGTCTGGGCTGGTTCCATGGATGCTGCTCAGCTCTGTGGGGCTCTCCACCTTGAGCACCATCTTATTTTTCATAGGCAACCAAAGCATATATCAGAAGTACTTCAGGAGAGGTCTGCAGTCTCGGAATGTCACGGAGGACACTATTAGGAGAACATACGAGAAATTCTACTTCTTCCCTCTAAAAATTGTTGCCTGGACAGTCCCTACCATTGTCTTCCTCTCTGGCATGGTTTTGCTCATCACATCTCTGGGAAGGCATGCCAAGAAGACCTTCCTGTCTATCTCAGGCTCTTACGACCCCAGTGCCCAGCGCACATCAAGGCTCTCCTCGTTCGAAACTCCTTTGCCATTCTCTTCACCACCTCTTTTCTGTCACTGGTGCTCAGCGTGGCAGGTGTTTTGCCATCTCAGGAACTGAAGTGGAAGGAGGTGGTGGTTTATCTGTGCACAGCAGTCCACCCCGTCATCCTGCTGGTGAGCAACCGCAGACTGAGAGCCGAGCTGGGGAGGGGCCACTTGAGGGGGGGTATCTTGAGTTGCAAGAGATGAAAACGCTCAGAGACTCACATGCAGAAGGCATGGAGACACTCTTCCTTCAGTGTCTTTGCCATGTTTCATGATGAGGAGAAGAACATCAGTGCAATAGGAATTCCAAGGTGAGATTGAAGGTCCTGAGATGGGGCCAGTGTCACCGATTCCCACTCAGCGGACGTGTTGCTGTTCCAGCTGTGTTCCCTGTGGGACTCGACGTGGCTACGAATCGGGAACTTTTCCTTTCCCTGTGATGGATCCCTTGGTGTTTGAAATGATGCTTCTGAAAACTGGATGCAAGGCTCCCGACACATCGTGCAGTGTTTATTTGTGGAGTCGGACCAGAGGAGATTTATGGCACTTCAGTGGTCCTCTGGCTTCATGCCGGGAATTATCTTGCCTGTTTCCTCACTTAAACGTCTTCCAGCCTCCTCCCGCAGTGAAGCTCCCCTGTCCTCTGAGCAAGCGAGCCTGATGTCCGAATTCCGTTCACAGAGCGTGGTGGAATTCTGGCCTGTGTGTGGCAGGGAGTGTTGTCCGGGCCTTACGGTTTACATATTGTTTATATTCTCCTGTACTGCCCCGTCTGTTAGCAGGTTTTGTCAGTGTGAAGAAGGTCCATGGACCCAGGTGTGGTTTCTCTTATGTTGACATTGGGAGCTACTGCAATTGCGACGTGGAGAGTTTTCCTCTACATCTGTCCAACCTTTGAGATTTAAGAAGCACGAGAGCTCGGGCCTGGGTTGGTGAAGGACAGAGGCTACTTTTCTGCCTGTCACAGGTCTTCTCAGACCATTCAAACTGAGATCCCTAAACTTCCTCTATCAGCTTTAATATTTCTCAATCTCATTTCCTCTGCTCCCTCCCCCACCCCTCTGCACTACGAGACATGCCCTGCTTTTGGCTTTTCAAGGGTTATTTTCTGGTCCCCACTCAAAGAGCCACTTCTGCCTGAATCTGCAACATTTGCTTCTTTTATTGTCCTTTCCTTCTTCAACAAAGGTATCTTTTTTTACTGAAAAAAATCCACTGGACTTTCCAACCTGCTCAAGTGATCATTCTGCCAATTAGTCACTTGCCCAGAGTGCCTCCACCCCACTGCACCCCACCCCACCGCCCTGTATAGTCCTCTGCCTTCTGCTCCCCATCTGATGACATGTGTTTCTAAAGGACACACGTGAGTTCCTGATCCCTCCCTGTGATGTTATCCTCTGCCCTCATCCTCCTGTGTATCTGTAGTATTTGCCTCTCTTGATAACAAATTATTTCTTTAAAAAAACTGGCTACACATATTTTTTACAAAAGTAATACCTGATGTTGGCAGGAGATATTTAGAAAAGGAAAGTAAATACCGCCTACACTTGCCCATCTGCGCGTCCTCCTGAACGGCTGCCTTCTCTGGGCTCCTGCGATGCTGCGCTGGGGTCTCTTCCCCAGCCACTGTGCTTCTGCAGCTCCCTTCGACTGCCTCATCCTCCTGCGTGGTTCTCCTTCGCCTTCTTTTGTCTTTCAGATTAATCTGCTCCTGTTCCTGGTGTTTACATGTACTCACATAGCTTTAGTTATGACCTTCATGTGAGTCATTACCAAAGCCTTGACCTTCCTCAAAACTCTGAACCTGTGTTTTCTTTCTGTTGCTGGGCATTTGCACTTGGTGGTACTGGTGAGCACTTCCAACTTAGCAGGCGCAAAAGTCTATCCCCCTCCTCCCCCCTCCCCTCCCCTCCCTTCCCTTCCCCAACCCCTCCACTGCTTAGTCGAATTGTTTTTTCTGTTCTTGACACCCAGTGAAGCAGGCTTACCATCTCTGTGTCATTGTTCACTCCCCGATCTACGCTGAGTCCTTCTACCTAATCAGCAGCTTGTCTTCAGTTCCATGTCTGTTATCTGTCCTTTCCTTCCTGTTCCTGTGGACCCTATTTTAGATTAGACTGTCCTCCTCTCTGCTTAAACTTCTTCTTTACCACTCCCTCCATTATATTCTCCTCTCCCACTGCCTACCCCCCATCACAACTACCGTCACTAGATGAATCTGCTGAAGGCATGACTGACCATTTCAACCACACCTCATCACCTCTCGGTGCTGATCAAATAAAGCATGGTCCCTAAAGTTGGCATTAAAGGACCTCCAAAATAGGGCAATAATTGCATCTCTCTCTGCTGCCATTCTAGTAGAATCCTATTTTTGCAGCAGGATTTGGGTTATTATTGTTCTGGACATACCTGGAGATTTCTCCCTGACATGCAGACATGTGCTCTTCACATGTTAAAAGTCTGTTTAATCCAACCCCCCTGCTGTTTGTCTTTTAAGGTTAATTTATGTGGCTCCTCTTCAGGGAGCTTTTCTGGGTGCCCCTCCCCACCCCAAGCTTTGCTGCCTCCTGCCTTTGAGGACATGTACATGGGTGTCGCTCGGTTGTGACATGAATTCTGCTTGGTGGTGGGATGATCTGTATGCTGGCTTCATTCTCCCCAGGAGATTTTGAAGTTCTCAAAGGCATGGGCCACCACATAGCCTTCCATGTGCTTGCTCCCAGAAACACTAATAAATACAGTTTGTGCTCCATGTAACAGAATGATTCTGCGCCACCTGGGACCCAGCTGCGAGCACCTGACCTGCTGTCTGCGTGTTTATCTACCGACTACATTTTGATGCTTATGCTTGATTTGCATTCCCTTCATTGGCCGGATGGCTTGTTTTTGGAGGTCAAACTCATATTCTGTTTCTCTTGGACGTAAGCACAATGTGGAAATAATAAATGGGTAAGTGAGAGTAAAGTTTGCCTGATTTTGCTCTGCCTTGACTTTTGTTCTTTCTTGAGCATTTATGTTGCTAAGCAACTGTGAACCGCAAGCTTTTAGCCCCTTCCTGTGGGAATCTAAGTGAAGGCTGACTTCTTCCTCTTTGTTACTAACCCCAGCTTCCTTTCCAAAGAACCTTCTCGAAGCTTCTCTGTTCCTTTCACTCCTCACCTCATTAGCCCAGGAGAACAGAACATCAGAATGAAAAGTAATCTGAATGAACTCCCCACTCGTCACCTTGGAGTTTAAATACATGGAAAATAAAAGGAAAGCAGGGTTTGTTGTATTTTAAAAATACCTAGTAAGACTTATTGTCATTACTTTTTGCCCATAGTCTAATGTCATCATGCTTTATGGTAGTAGTAATAACAATCACACGTGAGTGCCTATTTTGTGTGAGGCACGGGGCTAAACAATTCATTTACTTAAGTGCTGCTGTGGCTGTGCGTAATTCTTGAAACAATGCTGCAAAGTGGAAGCTGAGGCTTAGAGTTGACTGCCGAGGTCTCACGGCCAGAGAACGATACAACAGGGGCGCTTCAGTGCTATATCTTAGAACAGTGTGGTATTCATGCGAGAGTAGGTAAGTCCATGTAGGTACTGCAATTGGAAAAGCAAAAAATGAAATTAGAGCCAACATTTTATCATAAATTCCAGGTACATTCTAAAGACAGACAATCTTTAATTTAAATGTTATTTAATTCTTAAAAGACCCTCCTTTCACCCTGGCTGGTGTGGCTTAGTGGACTGAGCACAGGCTGCAAACCAAAGGGTCACTGGTTGGATTCCCAGTCAGGGCACATGCCTGGGTTGCAGGCCAGGTCCCCAGTGGGAGCCATGTGAGAGGCAACCACACACTGATGTTCTCTTCCTCTCTTTCTCCTTCTCTTCCCCTCTCTCTAAAAATAAATAAAGAAAAAGACCCCCCCTTTTTTGATAATTCAGTTTCTCCCAGATTTCATTCCATAAAGTTCTACAGAGACGTTGGCAGTCCTTGCCCTTTGGTTAGTGTATCATTGCACAGTGAAGTGTGCGCACGCCCCACCCTTTGGTTAGTGTGTCATTGCACAGTGAAGTGTGCCCCACCCTTTGGTTAGTGTGTCATTACACAGTGAAGTGTGCACTCACCCCACCCTTTGGTTAGTGTGTCATTGCACAGTGAAGTGTGCACACACCCTTATGCTCTCACGAGTCAGGGGAGCCTTGTTTTCTTCAGCCTTCTTTAAAAACTTTTAAAATGTATTTTTAAATTTATTGATTTTTTTAGAGAGAAAAAGGGAGGTAGGGAGAAAGAGAGAGGGATTTATTGTTCCACTTATTTGTGCATTCATTGGTTGATAGTTGTATGTGCCCTGACTGGGGATCAAACCCACAGCCTTTGCATGTTGGGATGAAGCTCTAACCAGCTGAGCTACCTGACTAGGTCTTTCTTTTTTAATTCCTTCCTTCCTTCTAAATGTTTTCTTTTTTAAAATTTTGTTTATTTTTAGAGACAGGGGAAGGGAGGGAGAAAGAGAGGGACAGAAATGTCAATATGAAAGAGAAACATTGATTGGTTGCTTCTCCCAAGTCTCCAACTGGGACCCAGCCCTCAACCCAGGCATGTGTTCTGACTGGAAATTGAACCTTCGACCTTTAGGTTTTCAGGACAATGCCCAACCCAATGAGCCACACCGGTCAGGGATGTCTAGGGCTTTATTAGGCCTTCTTAAGTAATACTTAAAATACCAGGTTGTAATGGAAATAACTGGCAAATTGACTATAGAAAAGTTTAAGCCACTTTTTTTTTTATGAAAAGATACTATAAATGTAGGTATCACTGAAGTTTTTTTTTTCAATTTTAAAGCACACATAATAGGATGTATATAGATGAGTCAAGGTCAGCTTAAATAAAAATGAATAGTTAATTCTTTTTTTATTACATTACAGCTTAATTTTCCCTATAATCTGAACTATACTCTAGCTATCTCTTTTATGCTTATACAGACAATAAAATGCCTTATATTTCACTTAATTTTTCTTACAAAAATACTGTTTGTTAGTGGTGTTACTCATTATGAAATAATAAAGTAGGGGATGGGGAATCTTTTAATTAAAATACTACACTGGATATTTATCCTTTATCATTTGCTTTTTTGAAAATATGAACTATAGCAATTTTCAAAGCAGTAAAGATAGCAGAGAAGGTCAAAAGAATGAGAAACTTCAAGTATAAA